TTTCTTCAGGCCTTGTCTTAAAGAGGGGAAATATATAAATCAAGTTTTAATACTTATAGTATTATACTAATTTGCTGTTAAAGACTTTGTTTTCAACCCATGCTTTTGTGTCTGATTTACTAATGAAGACAATCATTTTTTAAAGTTGGTCCAGTATTGAGAAAGACAGGCTGCAATGTAACAACTTTTTTGTACTCTCAATGTATGTCCACTAAAAGTGCTTGTTTTTGCCATTGACAGGCTCAAATATATTCTAAGTGTCTGACAACATAATGGAAAGAATCCCTACAGAGACAGACCTTTTTGTTAAAGAGTAAGATCTTTTTGGTTTAATAAGAAACAGTCCGAAAATCTCCATCACCAAACCCCCCAGACTCCATTTAAAGAAACAGTTATTTTGGCGAAGACAGAGTCAGCATTTTTCACATTTGATCTGGTAAATTAATTTTTTTTTGTAAATGTTGAAAGACAAACCAAGTTAGTTTTTCTGAGTTTTATATTTGTTCTGTTGTCTTTGGATGAAGTGTGTTTTACAATGAAAAAAATTACTAATTATTTAAATGGAGTCTGGTGAGTTTGCAATAGCGATTTGGGGCTGTTTGTGATATGAAAAGGATCTTACTCTTTAACAAAAATGTGTATCTCTGTAGGGATCCATTCTGTAATGTTTTCAAACACAGAATAACAATTTGAGCCTGTCAGTGGCAAAAACAAACACTTTTAGTGGACGTAAATTGAAGACATTCCAAATGGTTACCATAGACTTCAAAAATCATGGACGTAGCTGCCGTGACATCACCCACTGGTTTGTGGACTCCCATCTTGACACTTCGAGGTGGGCATTATAGCCATTGCCATCTTGGTTTTTTGGAGCCAGAAGTGACCATATTTGGGGGGTGGATCTGACTGAAGACACTCTCAGCAGACAGCCTGTCACTCAAAGCAGCCCACTCTAATTATGCGTAACTTTAAGCCTTAATTAAACATAAAGGGGTGAGTTATATAAAAATTCACCCCCCGTACAGTTGTCATGAATGGGTAAATTAGCTACAAAGACCAAAACAATTATTTTATTTATTTGTTGTACCAGGCTGTAAACATGTAAATCTCTGCTGTGTTACCTTGTGTATTTTAACATGGGGGCGTATGCGGATTGACTGGATTCTAGAGCCAGCCTTAAAGCTATGGTCTACGTTTAGAAAGACGATGAGAAAGATTTGATAAAAGCACCCCCCCCACACACACACACACACACACACACACCCCTCCCTCTGTGCTCCATGATCCCTCCCCTCCGAGCTTGTGTCCCCCTCCCCTCGGAGCCTCCTAACGACACACACCCTCCCGCATAGCAACATACAGTTACATACAGCATACAGTTATCTATGTCACAACATCCACAATAAAAACAAAATATTACCTGTTCAACAAAAACTCTGCTGTATTAGCATCACTTTTCAGGCCCAGATCTTGCCGGAGCTTTCTCCATCGGTCAAAGAAACTGAGGAGACAGAACATGGCAACAGGCGAGAGTGCAGCTGCTCTTAGCTTTCTCGTATATGTAGTTTTGTCCGCGTTTTTTTCTGCTCATGTCAAGCAGATTTTGTGTATAGTCGGCAGGACATTATCGACATCTGCTGGAAGTGCAAGGTTGACATCAAGAGAGACTTTCAAAAGGCACACAACATCCTAGACGCCATCGGCAGACCTGTGGAGTCACTGTGGACCTGCTGCCCGAGTAAGCGACGCAGACGCCGGAGGGAACGAAGGCAGAAGCGCGGGCGCCGCTCGGGGATATTGGCTAGGCTAAAGAAGTACCCTCACACTCCATCACTGCTGAGCATCTTCCTGACAAACACCAGATCTATTTCGAATAAAATGGAAGAACTGGAGCTATTGATTGCCTCCAACCGCTACATACAGACCTGTGGGATTATGATCATGACGGAAAGCTGGCTTCACCCGCTCAAACCCGATGCTGCAGTACAGCTAGCGGGCCGCACTAGCCACCGGCAGGACAGAATCATTGAGTCCTGTTAGAGGAAAGGAGGGGGGCTCTGTGTTTATCTCCATAACAACTGGTGTAACAACAGCAGGATCATTGCTCACCATTGTTGTCCAGACCTTGAGGCTCTCTCAATATCCTGCAGACCATTCTACCTTCCCCGGGAACTGAGTGTTGTCACCGTCTCAGCTGTCTACATACCACCAGATGCTAATGTTAGCATTGCTCTTAGTAGCTTAGCAACCATTGTAAACAAACTGCAGCACGCCCATCCCGAGGGCCTTGCAAACCACTCGTACTTTCAAATGCGGAGGGGGGTTGGGATGAGGCGGGACGAGGAGCAGAGGAGTGTCAAAATGGAGTGAGGGAATTGGACAGACGGTAAGAGAGAGAGAGAGTGCAAATTTGAGCAAGGAGTAACTCCCATGACTGGATGGCTGTGATTGGTCAATTTCTTTGCAGGCCTGCAGCCGCCAGAGAGAATGGATTTTTTTTGGTTCCTTTTGCTCTTCACATTGTGTAGCTAGTAATATTGGGCCATAACCACCATCTAAATGATGTTAATAATAATGATCAATCTTTCTAAACGTAGACCATAGCTTTAAATGGCCATTCAAAGAACTGCAGTTTTGGCACTTTGCAAGGTAGCATCATTTTTCAGCCCCAGAGGTTGCCACTTGGTGGTTACATTGCGGCCTGTATATGACTGCAGCATTCTCATTCAATACTGAACCAATTTCAAAAACTGTTGTCTACATTAGTCACTTGCATGGGAACATGGGAAAAAAGGGTACATTTAAAAAAAAAAAACTTAAGTATCCTTAAATATTACGCTTACATGGTCCATGCTCTTATACAAATTTGTGTTTGATCAAATTACCATATACAGTATAAAAGTTCAATTAGGGTCCACAGCTCATTTTCGTCCTAGGGCCCCTGTCGTGCATTAATCTGACCCTGGCTGCCCTTTGTACAATGTGTATATACTGTGTGACAACTTCTCATTAAGCCCAGTGCAAACCATACACCTGTGCTCGAGTTGCACATTATTTATGGTCATTTGATCAAATAAATCTTTATCAGGAATTAGGAATATGCATCATAGCCTTGCTTGCATGGTCTCTGGGTTGAGGCTCCACAGTCAGAGACCATCTCTTGTCATCTTTGTTTTGTAAACTCTCTAATGCAGGCATTAAACATGCTCCCATAAACCTAAAAAATGAACAATCATTATGAAAGTATCATCAAACTGAAACGATAAAAGCTCTATATTGACACAGGACCCCTCTACAAGACACACATTTAGTTAATGATGCACAGCCAGTCAGAGTTGATGATGTACAAATGCCCTAACACATTTTCTATTAATTAAATTATCAAAACCAAATCAGGGGCCCTTCAGGGTCTGGTGGCAGTTGACTGCTCTCCCTGGTTGGTTATCTCCAATCATATCAGTGATTAAAGCTCAGAACAGTCTACTTCCCATCAGTCATATTCCGAGTAAAGCCAGACGGGTGTTTTGGTTTGTGGCTAAATTTAGCTCAGAGGAACTGATCTGAGCTCACATCTGGATAGCTAAAGCGTTCTCTGGCAGGAGATGGGGGGGGGAAAAAACTCCACCTGCATGACCAATCACTTTCACTCAATTTGCATGCATCCTCCCACAGAGGCAAACACACTTCCACTACTGTGGAAAACTCAATGCCAAAAACTCCTACTGCCGAGACAGAGCACTTCCAATAAGGCTTTATATGCTCTGTTAACTAATCTGAACTGTGGCCTACTTACCTCAATGAGAATGGTGACATTTGTGCAGTGTTTGAACTTTATCATAACATTGTGTTTATGTGGTATTAACATTTTTTTTATTCAATACTATTCACCTGATTTACTCAACATCCAAAGAAACTTTAAGGGACAGTTCAACCCCAAATCAAAAATACATATTTTTCTCTTACCTGTAGTGTTATGTATTAATGTAAATTGTTTTGGTGTGAGTTGAAGGGTGTTGGAGAATCGGCTATAGAGATGTCTGCTTTCTCACCAGTATAATGGAACTAGATGGCACTCGGGTCATGGTGCTCAGAGCACCAAAAGAATTATCTGAAAACTCAACAGCAATGTCTCTTTCCAGAAACAATGACCTGGTTACTCAAGATAATCCACAGACCTTGTTGTGAGCAGTTACATGTAGGAACTATTTTCTTTCTACCAAACTACACCCACCAACCGTATTACTGCACAGAAGTCAGTGTGCATCTACTCATGGACAAGAGGCCTAAGCTCAAAACATTGCAAGTGGCACCCCAAAGGGAAGGCCGCAAGCACCCTAATACAATTGCTGGCCTCCCCACTTACCGTCTTTAAGAGGTTGTGGGGCACACCTTTTCTAAGCTAGCACAAAGGTAGTGGCATCATGTGAAATGAGACAACCTAAGGCATCCCTTGGTATTGGCCATGTCGTGGTTATCTTGTCAGGAAGGGTGCTAAACAATGCTTTAATGCTAGGCTAAATTTTGGCAAGGGGACAACTGGCAGGGTCATTTTCAAAGGGGTCCCTTGAACTCTCACCTCAAGATATCTGAATGACAAAAGGTTCGATGTGTACCCACGAGTATCTCCTAAACTTGAGAAGGCTTGTTCCCAGTAAACGTTTTGTTCCTTACTGCCAATGTACTCCTTCAAATTCAAGCTATGCATTTGTATTTTTAAGGAAAATGACAACCAGTCTATTTGAGGAACAATTAATCACTGAACATGTACAAATATATAACACATTGTTGCTGTAATTGTCACAGTGGGCACTTTTCACCTGCCATACATGCCACTTTCTCAGTTAACTCAGTAAATTTCCACTGACCCTGCCTCTCCACCACACCTACCTGCCAGCCTATTACCTGTCTACACATCTCCCACTCCTGCCAATCCACCACACCCATCTCATCAAGCTAACGCCCCTCACATGTGGATCATTACCTCCTGCCAGTATAAAGACTCCAGCTTCACAGACTATCCTTGCCAGAATGTTCTTTGTCATACTCAAGCAAGACTTTCCAGTATTTATTCCCGGACTGCTTCCTTGTTGCCGACCTCGCCTGTCTTTGACTCTCCTGCTTCCCCTGCTCCCACTCAGCCTTCTGTCCCCGACCAAGAGCTCTGCTTCTACGTTCCTGGTTTCTTTTCTCCATGGCTGTTTGGTGAGACTGTCCCGAGCTCTTCATAGTGAGTTTACCTGTCCTGCTACCTGTGATTTCCTGTGGTGTGGATTACCTCTCTACATGGATGCACGTTCTGCCGTTGTGTGTGCGTCGCAGGATCCACTCATCATCGTCATTGTCAAGACCCTCGCTGCCTACAGTCGGCTTCGCACAGGTGTGTTGGCTTCTCCCGTGTGTACTCCTGGTTCCGGATTCCCTGCTCATCAGACATCGCCTTCTGCCTACTCCCTTACGGTACCATTGCACACATTTGAATTGTTTGTGTGCATCCAGCAGATGCCACTGACACACCTGTTCTCTGCCTTGGTTTGCCACACCAAGCAGTTCGGACTGAACCTGAGTCTTGGAAGGTTCTGAGCCAACAATTTGACTCTCACTGTTTTTTCATCTGCCAGCTCACTCTGTGTTTGACAAGTGGTTTCATTAAAGACTATTAGAAACTGCCCTTCTTGTCTGTGGTGCTGCATCTTGGTTCTGACCACACCCATGACAGTAATGACATCTCCTCCACTTAACTGTAATGTTATGGCGTGTTCCAGGCAACCTGTAACTCGTTTTTTTACAACCTTCTACCCGTGAAAGTGCACTGGAACGGTAGTCAAACCCGCAACTTGCCACCCGTGAACTCGTACCAGATCGATGTACTCCCAGTCATGCTTTCTGACATCACACATCCATCTAAACCAATTACCTTACTCCTCTAAACAACAATGCCAGCCCCATGGATGCGGTGTTGATGCAGGTGATACACAGTGAGAAATAGACAAAAAATAACTGCTAATGTTAACACATTATTGGCAGCCGCCCTAACAGCTAGTTTCCAGTGCAAGAATAAATCAATACAAAACACGTTTCCAAACACACAGATAACATAAAATAAAAAGTATAATAGCATCTGTGACCTTATGTGCTGTCTCTCCTCCTCCGTTTCGCTCAAATGAGCAAGGAACCGGCACCTTTGGTGACAGAAGTGATCATAAACCCTGCACGGTCCGCCATGTTGCTTTGAGAGTTTGGCGTGACTTGCCTGGAATGCTATGAAGTGAGTCGTGACTTGAAGTGGTGATTTACGGGCTCAGAAACTTGCCTGGAACGTAGCATTAGTTAACTCTGGTGAGCTAGCAGTAACCTCTATTCCATGGGTGTTTCTTAAAGTCAAGGATCCTTCCTTGGTAGGATGAGCCCTCCCCAGGAAGAAACCTCCAGAGGCAAGGCAAGAGTCCTTCCTAGCATTGGGTGAACACATGCTGGAACAGGCTAACGAGTGTCCCTAAGTGTACATCATTAACCCTCGGCAGACTGAGGGGGTTTCAGGATACTGTGATCATTTTGGCACTCTCTAATGTTGTACAATTTCAAACAAATGTAGCAGTATTTTCAGAGTCACGTTAGGGAGAATGTATTTCATACTTAAGATTAAGTGGAGTAAAGAGGTAAAGACAACAGCTGGAAAAAAGTTCTGAATTATTATTTACAGAATATACAGACTCACACACAGAATCACTCTGATTCCACAGTGTTCCATATTTTATGTGTGTCACCACACCCTCCGCTACAATACTAAGAGTAGCAGATCTGATCTGATGAGCCGCGCTGTTCTGAAACAGCTGACCGCGCCGATTGTACATGATACCACTGTGTAATCTTCTCAAATATGTTAACCTCAAAACAAATGAGTGATGCTTTGACCTGCAGGACATTCCAATGTCTTTTCTGTGGCCGTTCTCACTGTGATTCCCCCCAAAATACACCAATTAAGCTGACAGAATGAAAGCAATTATCATTTCATTATCATGTGAATAGTGGGGGAAGATGGACAGCGCTCCATCTCTGCTGTAAATGATTCACTTAAAAACTTTTGTTTTATCTAAATCATGTTATTTTAAAAGTCTTATATTCAGCAGTGGACACATTGGAAAGTGTAAATTATGAGGTTTCTGTTAGAGGTCGATGACTTAGCCTCCTTGAAATTCGGCCATTTAAGGATCCTTCCTTGACTGTCAGAAACACCCCATGAGTTGATGCATGCTTCCTTCTGCACACACATGCACACATGCATACAGTTGGCGGGAGCAGGCTGGGTGAAAGACACAAGTTCTTACATGACCTGGTTAAACAAGGTCATGATTCCTGAAAGAGACATTGCTGTTTGCAATGAAACATTGTTTTTTGTTTTGTTTTTTTTGGGTGCTTTGAGCACCACAAGCCGAGTGTCATCCAGTTCCATTAGGCAGGAGAGAAGGCAGACATTTCTATGGCCATTATCTACATCACTCTGTAACTCACACCAAGACAATCTAGATGGAACTGTCCCTTTAAGAAGTACAGAGAGAAGGAGGTGACGGCCCCTTCTGTTCAGGATGTTCCTTTAGGCAGGTATCTTAATAAGTACGGCATAAACGTGCCTCATGTTTTATGGAAAGTTCATAACTCTTTAATTAAGATTGCTCCTAGCACTGAATGGAAGCTCTTTTACTTTAATCTGACTTATTAAAGTCTTATCAGCTTGCACGGCCATCTGCTGTAAAGCTACTCTGTCCTCTTTAGATTCAGCAGGCAGGGACTGGAAAACAAACTGTCTGTGTACAGCCGGATGGATGGTATATTATGCACGCCTGGACACGGCTGCTGTGTTCCGCAAACACCCACTCTGACAGAAAAAAACATCCGTGGTGTCACAGTTCTTATGATTATGAATACAATCTGAATGATATCGAGAGCCGTGACATTTTCAAACTAATGTCCCAGGTGGGATTGCAACACTTTGGTACACTTTGACTTTTGTGTGTGTTTGCATGTCAAATGTCAATCTCATGCATAAATTCATTGCAGCCAGTCCCTTGGTGCTTCACAAACATTGTCACAGCAGAGATGTGGAAAAATGGCCAATGCTTTTCTTTCTTTCTTTCACTTCTCCCCACTTAGTCTGACACCTCTTCACAGCATTTCCTCAATGCAAATTCTGGATACGATCTGTGGGACTTATCAGCTTATGGCTGCATACATTCAAGATTCATGATAAATCTTGGAGGGATTTGTTGATTTTTCCCCTGAGCCTTAAAAATCTGTTCATCCCCTTGCAGGAGGGAGACACTTTTAGCTTTGCTACAGTGTAACACTGTAATCCCCAAAGACAGAGAACTTGGACAGATTTGATTATTCGTGATATACAGTAACACGATAATTAACCAGGTAGTGACTGAGGAAAGGTGAGTCTGTACGTTTAGTCCAAGCTACAAACATCTAACAATGTAACAATTAATGGGCAATAAACATGTCATTCCCCATGTAGGTACTCCTTTAACCAATCAGAAAAGAGAAAATGCAAGTTTCATCAAAACTAGACTTGTATGCATCAGTTATGGCCTTTTAAGCTACGACCCCGATTCCAAAGAAGTTGGAATGCTGTTTAAAACTTACATGAAAGCAGAATGCATTGATTTGTAAGTCCTTTTGATCTATAGTCAGTTGAATACAATACAAATAATAGATATTTAATGTTCAACCTGGTAAACCTTATTTTCTCTTGTAAATATTTTGAATTTGATGCCTGCAACACGTTCCATAAAAAGTTGGAACAGGGGTATGTTTACCACTGTGTTACTTCACCTGTTTTTTTAATAATATTCAGTAAGTGTTTGGGAAATGAGGACACTCGTTAAAGTTTTGAAAGTAAAATTATTTCTCATTCTTGCTTAATATACAACTTTAGCTGTATATCAGTCTGGGAGCTGCATTTTGTGCTTCATAATGTGCCACACATTTTCAGTAGGACATATGTTTGGACTGCAGGCAGGCCCGTCTAATACCAGCACTCTTTTACTACAAAGCCACACTGTTGTAACTGTAACACATGCTGAATGTAGCTTGTCATTGTGCTGCTGGACAAAGCAGGGAGATGTTGCTCCAAAACCTGTTTGTAACTTTCAGCATTCATGGTGCCACACATGTGAGTTACCCATGATGCCATGGGCACCAACACTCCCCCATACCATCACAGATGCTGGCTTTGAACTTTGAGCTGGTAACAATCTGGATGTTCCTTTTCTTCTTTAGCCTGGAGGACCTGATGTCCATGATTTCCAAAAACAATTTGAAATGTGGACTCGTCAGACCACAGCACGCTTTTCCACTTTGTGTCAGTCCATGTCAGATGAGCTCAGGCCCAGAGAAGTCAACACCGTTTCTGGATGTTGTTGATAAATGGCTTTTACTTTGCATGTTAGAGTCCTAAGTTGGATTTGCAGACAAAGCGATGAACTGTGTTTATGGACAATGGTTTACCAAAGCGTTCTTGAGACCAAGTAGTGATATCCTTTATATAATCATGACGGTTTTCAATGCAGTGCCACCTAAGTGGTCAAAGGTCACAGACATTCAGTGTTGGTTTTCAGCTTTGCCCCTTACATGCAGAGATTTCTCTGGATTCTCTGAATCTTTTGATGATATTATAGATTGTAGATGTTGAAATCCTAAAGTCATTGCAATTGTGTGTTGAGAAACATTGATCTTAAAGTGTTGGATGATTTGCTCATGCAATTTTTCACAAAGTGATGAACCTTGCACTGTCCTTGCTTGTGAATCAGTCTTTTAGGCATGCCCCTTTCATATCCAATAATAATACCATCTTCTGTTACCAATTAACCTGTTTTACCCATCAAATGTTCCAAACAGGTGTTTTTTGAGCATTCCACAACTTTCACAGTCTTTTCTTGCCCTGTCCCAACTTTTTCTGAATAGTTTTGCAGGCATCAAACTCAGAATGACTTAATATGTACAATAAAGCAACACAATACAACAGTAAAGCTTATCAGTTTGAACATTAAATATATTAACTTTGTACTGTATTCAATTGACTACATTGAAAATGATTTGCAAATGATTGCATACTGTTTTTATTGACATTTTATACAACTTTTGTGGAATTGTACATTAATAGATTTTTTGGCCACATGGGGGCAGTGCAAGCTGTATTAACATATTATTACCATGTAATGTTGATGTGAGAAGAGCGTCAGGGAATAGTCACCTATTTATAAATCTAGCAGACACAGAGCAGCAGGCATTCATTTTGAGTTGTGTTTCTGGCCAACTGATCAATGTCAGTCCATTATTGCCTGATATTAGATAGAATTGTCAACTTTTTACACTACGTTTCTGTTCTCAGCCTGACATTGCTGTCAAATAACCGATTTCCTTGGAGAAGGGAGTTTTGATTTTCTCTAACCAATCACCAGAGACCAACCTATCCGCCTGAATCTGATGTCATTTTCAGTCCACAGTGACGTACTTGTTATGCCGGGGGTTTAAGAGTGGACCAGAGCAAAGTAAAACAAGCTACAGTGCTGGGCATTATTGAGAAGACATGCTGATTTAGAAAATCCTCTAAAGCAGCATATATCTTGTCCATAGTGCTTGCCATTGTTGTTATTACTTCTCATAGG